GGGGGGGACAGTAAGCTGGATATTGCTTCAGACCCACGGCCCCATGGCCCCAATAGGCACCATCCCTGCCTCTGTCCTGGAGACAAAGCAGGGCTGGCCTCACTTGGGGTCTCAAGAGCCCCTAGCCCTGGAGCCCCAGCCAGGTGCTGCGCCACCCCCTTGGGCTCCTCAACACAGCGATGGCATCTTGCAATGACACAGCAGGCGACAGGTCGCAGTGCCAGGGAGGCTGCTGTGGCCGTCCGTCCTCAGCCACAGGAGCACCTGCTCTGGAGCCTCCTGCAACCCCTGCCCCACCCCTCGGCTTCCTTTTTCTAAGGAAACCCTGAAGACCTCAGGAGGGAGGCTTAGGTCAAGACTTAGCTGAGACTTGAGACTGACCCTGGTGGCCCCTTGGGCTGGGCAGAGGGTCTTAAGTCAGAAGTGCCACCAATGGGACCCCAGAGGCGCCTGCCAGGTGCCCCAGGCCTCCCCCAGCCCAGGGCCAGGGTGCGGCTCACGCTGTAGAGGATATCGGTCCAGCCCTCCATGGTGATGCACTGGAACACCGTCAGGATGGCAAACAGGATGTTGTCGAAGTTGGTGATGCCGAAGTTGGGACCCGGCCAGTACTCCCGACACTCGGTGTCACCCTCACACAGCCGGGCCGGGGCCTCTTTGCCACAGGGGAAGTCACCCACAGGCTCTGCATCTGCAAAAGGAAAAGGAAGCAGGTCCTGAGCTCAGACGAGGCAGTGCCTGGATCCCACATGGCCAACTGTGCAGCTCGAGTGTCAGGCCCAGTGGCTTGAAAATCACACCAGGCACATGTGCGTGCCCAGAATCCAGAGAGGAGAATGGAGAAGGGCTTGCGGCACGGCCCTTCCCCGTGAGAGGGCGAGTTCTCACTCTCTTCCCCTCTCTGTCTCTTCGGTGAGCGCACGTACCCTCTCGCAATAACTAAACAAAGGAAGAAAAGAAAGAAGTGACAGCTGCTGCTGCCCCTGGGCCCCTGGCTCTGCAGAGCCACTGCAGACGGGCAGACCCTCTCTGCCTCCCACCCGCCGCCACCTGGGCTCAGAACCAGCCTCTGCCTCTCCGCCGGAGCCTGCTCTGCATCACCTAACACGCTTCAGTCCCTTCATCTTTATTTTTTTTAATTGTTTACTTAATTCCATTTATTACTATTATTATTATTATTATTATTATTTTAATTAGGCCAGAGAGAGAAAGGAAAAGCGAGAAAGGAAGCCGCCAGGTCCAGGACCCGAACTCTGGTCGGCCACGTGGGGGTCCAGCGCCCGTAACCACCATACCACCTGCCGGCCCCCACAGTCCCCTCATCTTAAAATCACCACTAATCGGTCCACCCTAACCGCCAATTCTTCCTAATTCTTCTGTCCCGATCTCCCTTCTCCCTGAAGCCTGAACTGCCAGCGAGACCCTGACTGCAGGTCTGCCTGATGCTCTGGCGCCCCCAGGCCTTGCACCTCGCAGTGGGAACCCTTCTGACCTGCCCGGTGGGCAGCTGGGGCCACACGGCGAGACCAGCACTGACCTTGGCACCGACACAAGCAGCACACATGCACCTCTCACTCCCAGAAGCAGGAAAGGGCAGGGCAGACGCAAGAGTGCAATGACACATGGAGACCCCGTCAGCACAGGGACACAGAAGTGCTGGGTGGAGAGCGAAGGCTCCTGTGTGCAGGTTCATCCCTCTCCCTGCAGATATCTTGGTAAATGCTTATGATGACAAGGGGACAGCTGTCTGCCGTGGACACCTGCACTCTGCAATCGCGGCCGCTTCCTCCCACCCGGCGTAGGCCCTCCCTTCCTTCTCGTCTCGGGCACTGGACGTGACCGCCAATGCCACATGGACTGGACCTACAGGACTTACAATGAAGTATAATGTTTGCAAAGAACCCAGGAAATTTAATTAAGAAAATTCCCTTGGGGCCGGCAGGTGGTGTGGTGTTTAAGGTGCTGGACTCCCACATGGCCGACAGTGGTTCAAGTCCCGAACCTGGAGGCTTGTTCTCTCTCTCTCTTTTCAGTGAGCACATGTCTTATAGCAAATTAGAAAATAGTAATAAATAAAATTAGATTTTAAAAAATTCTTTTAAAAAAAGAAAATTCTGGGAACCAGCAGTTAGCGTAATGGCTATGTCGCTAGACTCCCACGTAGTCGACCGCGGTTCGTGTCCCGGACCCGGTGGCTTAAAACTCACGCCGGGCGCGTGTGCGTGCGTGCCCAAGATCCCGAGAGGAGAATGGAGGAGAAGGGATTGCAGCGTGACCATCCCCCCTGGGGGGTGATTTCTCGCTTTTTGTCTCTATGTCTCTCTCTGTCTGTCTGGCGAGCGCACGCGCCCTACAGTGAAAATCTCTCAAAAAAAAAAAAAAGAAAATTCCCTTTTATTTCCACTATGATTTTAAAAATTTAATCATTAAGTATCAAAACTTCAGGAAAAGCTTTTTCTATGTATGAGAGATGACCACATGTGTTTTCTCCCTTAATATATTTGTACCCGGGACCAGCAGATGTCATAATGGTTATGTTGCTGGACTCCCAAGTAGTTGACCGTGGTCTGAGCCCTAGACCCAGTGGCTGAAAACTCATGCCACGTGTGCGTGCGTGCCCAAAATCCTGAGGAGAACAGAGGAGAAGGGACTGCAGTGTGGCCATCCCCCCGGGGGGTGATTTCTCCCTGTCTGTCTGTCTCTCTGGTGAGCACACGCACCCGACAGCAAAAACAAAAGCTCTCTCTTTAATACATATACATATTTGAAGCTCACGCCACAGACCCTAGTGTCCTCTTACTCCTTTCACTTGCATCCCACATACGCTCTCTCAGAAGCATCTCCTTGGCTTTACCTAAACATGCCCAGAATCGGACCCTTTCTAACTCCCTCTCCCAAGACACAGTGGCCTCAATCACCATCTCACCTGGACAGAGACTCTCCCACCCCCTCGTTCTGGCTGCCTTCGCCTCCCAGGGCAGCCAGAACGAGGAAGACCTCGGCGCTCGCTCAGAGCTCAGTGCCCTCTGGTCTTCCCACGTCTCAGAACGAGGCTCAGAGTTCTCACCACAGCCAGGACAACCGAGGGCCTCCATCCTCGGTGCACCTCGCCCGGGCGTCTGCGCTCACGGGTCCCTGTGGCTGGTGTGCATCACTGGCCAGGCCTCCTTCTAGTGCGCTAGCAGAGAGGCCTCCCCAGGCCAGCCTCTGGAAAGCAGGCTCCGAACTATTCTACCTCAAATTCCTTTTGGTTGTTTCCTGCCTAGAAACCCATAATTGCTTTATTGATGTGTTCTTTGTTTGCTTCTCAGATTGCTGTCTGTCCCCAGACTGGGATGAAGCTCATCTCCAGCACCCAGAGGGGCGCCCCCGGGACCGGACGTGGCCGCCAACGCGGTCGGGCTCACCTGTGCTGTTGGGGAAGCAGGCCTTGTGGAATCTTCCCATGTAGAACTCGAGGCCTATAATGGCGAACATGAGGATGGCGAAGAAGAGCAGCAGCCCGATCTGCAGGAGCGGGACCATGGCCTTCATGATGGACTTGAGCACCACCTGCAAGCCTGGCCAGAGCGGCAGGGGGCAGGTCAGGAGCAGGTGGCAGGTGAGCGTCTGCAGCCCCTGGCGGGGTCCGTGGGCCTCGGCCGGGCAGGGAGTGCAGGGGGCAGCGAGAGCCCTGGGCGCATGTGAGCTGTGATGCCCGGGGCTCTGGAGGGCAGGAGCAGAGGCCCCAGGTGAGAGGGTGAGAGCCCAGAGTAAAGAGCAGAGTCCTCAGAAAGTAGGTAATAGGCAAGGAAAGCCTGGGGAGGGCAGGGGAGGCTGGGAAGGGGAACAGGGGATGGTGGAAACAAAGAGCAGCGGATTCTGAGAAGGAGAGCAGGGGAGCCTGGGTGGGGAGAGCAGCGGATCCGGAGAAAGGATTGCAGGGGATGCTGGGAGAGAAAAGCAGAGGATCCTAGGAGGGGAAGGCAGGAGATGCTGGGAAAACCAGGGGAGGTCATGCCCCAGGGAGTGTTCTGCCCTCAGCCAAGAACACAGAGGAAGCTGGACCCCTTCCAGCCTGACCCATTCTACGAGACGGACCGCAGCCCTCGCCTGGAGGGGTCTCGGGCAGTCAGGGTGGGCAGTCAGCCATGACCTCGGAAGGACAGGATACTGGGCCCCTCCCAGCCAGCTCTACGTAACCCAAACCATGCTTCCAGAGGACAGGTCGCCCAGGCTGCCACCTGCCACGCCGGGCGCCTACATGCCTAACCAGGAAGGAGCGTGTCTGGAGGCTGGTCTCCAGGGGCCCTGCCAACCGTGGGCCAAGACGGCTGGTCCTCTGCGGCTCCCTGTCCCACCACCTCAGTCAACTCCATGCATTCTTTAATCCCAGCAAAAGCCAAGTGCTGGAAGGCAGCCGTGTGGGTGGAAACAAACAAGCCAGGGCGAAGCAACAGGGTCGCCCTCCAGGCTTTCGTGGAGTGGGTGAGAATGAAAAAGGCCTGGCTCTTCCTCACACCGGGTCCCTGGCGAACTCGGAGCTGCCGACACTCAAGGGCACACTAGCTGGGGCTAGCCATGTGGTGGCCACGGGGGGGCACAGG